CCCCACTCTTATGCATTTTAGGTCATATCCAACTTTATATGACCAAGGTTGTCATAATATAATAATAAATTTTATAAGTCATAACAAGGCATAAGGTCATAACAGGTCATAGGCCAACACTGACTCTTATGAGCTATTTTATTTTATGTTAAACAGAAAATCAATTTGGAGTGGCCTAAATAAAAAAGGCCCAATTCCGCAAATCCGCTGATATGGTTCATCTCAACATTGACCAAAAAAATTTTAAAAAACTTAAGACGGTTGTCAAAATAAGCGGCGCAAAAATTTTTATCAAACTTTAAGCAATGATATCTCAACAATTACCAAGCCAAATTCGATAAACTTTTCTTTACGAATCTAGAATTCAATAACAAATTTTACTAATTTAGCCTGGTAGTTGTTGAGATATAATTGCTCAAAGTTTAAAAAAAAACTCGAAATGTCTATTAAAAAAGTTGTACTGTTTTCCCAAACTTGAGTGATAATATCTCGACAATTACTAAGTGAAATTCGATAAAGTGAAATTCTATAAACTTTGTTTTCTTTGAATTCTACGAATTTGTAAAATTCAATTAAAAAAGTTAACCATACTTGGCTTTGTAGCTGTCGAGATATCTTCGCTAATTTTATCGTTATGGGAATTAAATTTCGATAATCATCGGTGATGGTAAATTCAATAACAATTCTCTTTAAATTTTTATGCAGGAAGAGATAACAGTGCTAAATAGTTCTTCCTTATGGTGTTGCACTGAATAACCCTATGTTTGCTGTACATGTCGAGATGTAGCACGTTCTCCGTGATTTTACCATCTCACAAAAGTACATATGTATGAGAAACACAGTGAAACGGAGTATACGGTTATTTAGACCTTAATGTCTTTAGGTTGATTTTTAAGAAGACGGGATGGTTAAGCCTATTATATTGACTGTTTATCTTTGCTTTGTTTTTATTATTAATAGTATAGATGCATTTGTTCCTGTGCCAAGATCAGAACAAGCTGCTGTTCTTGTTAATAATAAGATTTACTTTAGTGGTGGAACCGGCTTTGATACCGCTTCTGGTTTTTTCTACCTTGATGTTTCAATCCCTTTTACAACAAAAGATATATCAACAATGCCCTGGGGTAATCTTTCTTCAATTACAGGTTTAATACTCAGAGCTGCTTCAACAGCCTGCATTTATGGAATGAATAACGATCAAATTATTTATATTGGTGGCAATAATGGTACCCAGTATATAGTAGGAGACAAGCTTGCCTCTATATTTGATATTACAACACGTAAATGGAGCAACTTACCAGCGTCGGGAACTTTTACTGAAATAGGGAGAATGTTTATTCAATGTATTGTTTCAGGAAATGTAATATACATGTACGGGGGAGCTCGTGACGTGTATGATATGTTTAAATTAGACACATTAAATTTAATTTGGTCAAAGTTTTCTCCTGGGTCGATGGCTCCTATAGGAGTTGTAGGATATAGTGCCACACTTTTAAACAATGCATCTATATTGTACATTGGAGGCCAACCCGGTGGTGATGTTAATACACTTCCCTATGCTTTGTTAGATAAGGTTTGGATTTATTATATTACGTTATTTAGTTTATAATTATATACAGATAGACGTTACTAATTAATTACGAATAGTTACCGATGTATAACATAAATAATGATACGTGGAGTATAGTGGTAAGTCAACCAGAATTGAACTTGTTTAATAAAACGAGGTACCGCTAATTTGAATTCATTATAATTGATTTAGTCAACATCAGGAAATATTCCTTCGTCACGATATGATCAC